AAAAGCATCTATTTTTATTGAGAATAGAAGATCCACTACTAAAGTGCCCATTCAGAAAATAATGTGGCCACTAAAAGGCTCCATTAATAGCCAAAACATACAACGGAGAAAAGAAAGCTTCTTCAATAAATGGTGCTGGGGAAATTGGAAAGCCAAGTGCAAAAGAATGAAACCAGACTGCTATCTGCCACCATATGCCAAAATTAACTCAGAATGGATCAAAGGCCTAAACATAAGACCTGAAACAATAAACTGCATAGAAGAAAGCATAGGTACTATACTTATGGGCCTTGGGTTCTAAGAGGATTTTATAAATTTGACCTCAAAGGCAAGGGAAGCAAAAGCAGAAATAAATGAATGGGACTATATCAAACTAAAAAGCTTCTGTACATCAAAAGAAACCATCAACAAAACAAAGAGGCAATCAACTGAAAGGGAGAAGATATTTGCAAACAATGCCTCTGATAAGGGGCTAATATCCAAGACATACAAGGAACTCATACAACTCAGCAACAAAAAGACAAACAGTCCAATAAAAATAAAATAGGCAGAGGACATGAACAGAAATGTCTCCCAAGAAGACATACAAATGACCAACAGATATATATGAAAAAATGCTCAAGTTTACTAGCTATTAGGGAAATGCAAATCAAAACCACAATGAGATATCACCTTACACCTGTTAGAATGGCTATCATCAACAAGACAAGTCATAACAAGTGTTGGAGAGGCTGTGGAGTAAAAGGAACCCTCAGACTGCTGGTGGGAATGCAGATTGGTACAGACACTATGGAAGGCAGTGTGGATGTTCCTCAAAAAACTAAGAATAGAATTACCATATGACCCAGCAATTCCTCTGCTGGTATCTATACAAAAAAATCTGAAAACATTTATCTGTAAAGATATATGTACTTCAATGTTCATTGCAGCATTATTTACGGAGTCCAAGACATAGAAACAACCAAAGTGTCCTTCGATAGATGATTGGAGAAAGAAGATATGGTATGTATACACAATGGAATACTACTCTGCCAAAAGAAAAGATGAAATAATGCCATTTGTGACAACATGGATGGACCTTGAGATTACTATTATTCAGACAGAAAAAGTCGAGAGCCATATGATTTCACTGATATGTGGGATATAAAACTGAAAGCAACAAAGGAACAAGACAAACAAAGAAACAAAAACTCATAGACACAGACAACAGTTTAGTGGTTACCAGAGGGTAACAGGGGAGGGGGGATGGTACAAGAGGGTAAAGGGATCAAATATATGGTGATGGAGGGAGAACTGACTCTGGGTGGTGAACACACAATGTGATATATGGATGATGTATTACAGAATTGTACACCTGAAATCTATGTAACTTTGCTAACAATTGTCACCCCAATAAATTTAATTTTTTAAAAAAGGCTCCATTATTTTGGTAATTTCTATATATGGTAGTTTCTAAAAAAGAGAGAGGGGGAAGGGGAAAGAGAAGAAAAGAGAGAGAGAGAAAAGAAGCAGGAGGAGCAGGAAGAAAGAGAGAAAGAGAGTGAGAGAGAGAGAGAGAGAGAGAGAGAGAGAGAGAGAGAGAGAGANGAGAGAGAGAGAGAGAGAGAGAGAGAGAGAGAGAGAGAGAGAGAGAATAAAGAAAAACAAGTTTATAACAACTGACTTTTAACCCTGCAGACTATCTCAGCTCTGCCCAATAGAAATACGTAAGTCACATGTATAATTTGAAAGTATCTAGTAATCATATTTAAAAAGTAAAAAGCTAAAAAATAGTTGAAACTAATTTTAATAGCATATTTTATTTAACATAACATTTCTTCACTATCCTAACTTCACCTAATATATTTGAAATGGAAATATCATTCCAACATGTGATTAATATAAAAATGATTAATAAGACATTGCATTCTTTTTCCCCCCTAACTTTTCTAAATCTTCATCATCCATTATGGTGTTTTTTGCACTTGGAACACATCTCAACTTGAGCTTGCCACATTTCAAGCACTCTACAGTCACAGGTGGCCACCGTATTGGACCGTGCAGGTCTATTCCCTGCCTATGCCACTCAACTGAAATTCCTCATGAAACAGGCACCAACGGCCCCTTAATCGTCTAAGTTAAATGGCCTCTGCTCGTACCAAGCCTCCTCCAAAATATCTTTGAAGTCTCTGCTATGTGAGTCACACTAGATTATACCGACTCCTTGAAACTCTCTTCCCCTGGTTTACAAAACCTGACATTCCCAGTTCTCATCCTGTTCCTCCAGTGGTGTATTCACAGTGCTCTCTCACTGTCTTCAAAGCATAAGTTGTCTTCTCTTTCTCAACCTCTCTCTCTCTCTCTCATCGCTCTATCATCTTTATCTACCTCTATCTCTATCTCTATCTCTATCTCTCTCTATCTCTCTTTGAACAGCTCCCAAACCCAAACTCCCAGGCTGGACCTGGTTCCTCAGTTCCAGTCACACATTCCCAGTTGCCTGAAAGACATCGCCACCTAGCATCCCACCAGCACCTAAGACCAGACGTTCTAGACTAACCTTATCTTCTCTTCCCACCCATACCAGCTCTCTTCACTGACATCCTGCTTTGGTTCATGTCACCATCATTACTGAACAAATATATAATGAGCACTTACTATTATATATATCATATATAATATGCATTATACTATATGTGTCCGCTGTGGGGATATAGAAGTGGACAAGCCAGACAAAAATTTGTCGCCATGAAGCTGACATTTTAGCAAGGCCAGCCAAACAATAAAGCCTAATAACTAATTTAAATATATAATATGTTAGAAAGTAATACTCACTATGGAGAAAAATGCAGCAAGATAAGGAGCATGAGAGTGTAGGAGAGGGGTGGTTAGGTAGGCTTCAGCAAGCAGGTGACATTGGAGCAAAGATCAAAGGAGGCCAGAGAGCACACCACGCAATATCTGGGGCTCCTAAGCCGAGAAAGAAGACCCGGTTGGCTGAGTGTGTCCAGTACTTGAAGTTTAAGGAAAGCACCGTGGCTCGAGTGGAATGAGCCGCAGGAGACAGGAAGGAAATGAGATGCAAAGCTAATGGGAGCCCCACGTCGCAGGCCGTCTAGGCCACTGTGAGGGTTTTGGTCACCCCGGCTTGGCATGTAGGGCCAGTCTCTCTCCTTGGAGCTTCTGCTTTCATTCAGGCTCCAGGGCTGACCCTCTTGATGCCTCTTGATCTGTTCCCCACGCCCCACATTATCCAATCCCTCACCACCTTAATTTAACCTTGGTAGGTGACTTCCCTGAAGCACAGCTGTGGTCGTGTCCTCCTCCCCAAGCTGTCCCCAGCACCTTGGCATAAGGTTTAACGCCTCTGGTGACTCAGTGAGTGCCTCCTCCACCATCAGCTGTTCCCTGCTGCCCGACATATGGCTCCCCCTCGCTCCAGCCAGACCGGATTCCTTGCAATGCCCTGTGCCTGCCTAATGAGCTCCCTAACCCCTGTCAATCCCTCCGTTCGGAAAATGTTGAGTCACTTCTCAGTTCAGTGAATAAACCCTATGTCTTCCATGAAGACCTCCCTCAACCAGTCACCATCCCCAACTGGTAGCTTCTTCTTTGAACTCTCATCGCATTTTGTATTTATCTTTGTTAGTGGGTTTGCCTCATTTAGACTCACGTTACAGTTATCTCCTCTCCTAAATTTGTCCAGAAAATGTGCCTTTTTTGGGTCTGTGCAGCCTCCTTAATTCCTAGAGCTGTGCCTCCCACAAATGGGGTACCATGTGTCTGTGGAATATCCTAGTGGATGAATGACTGAATCACGGTTATATAATTAGTTGCTGTGGCATATGGCTGTGTGAGGACAGTGGATGTAGGCATTTTTGTATCTTTCCTTGAATGTCTGTAGTATCTGTTTTATTATTAAAATAAAGTGTTTATAAATATTTTAAATCACTATAAGTCATGATGGGTCATGCATATCAGGCCAGCAATTTAACCTCTCTCAGCTGTAAGAAGGAGGCAGGATTCTTACCTCATAGAGCTGTAGTGAGAAATAATATGAGATTGTATGTGTAAGGTATCACGTGCCTAGCCTGAAGCATGGTAAGTGCTCAGTAAAAGGTAGATATGATGATGACGATGATGATGATGATGATGATGATAATGCTGATGGTAGTAGTAGCGATGACAATAATAACGATTAAAAGAGTTAAAAATGAAATGCTTAAAGAAGAAAGTTCTGTCCAGGTGGTTGACTGACCACAGCTCTCAGTATAAGGTAATTGAGTTTTCCCTTCATCTGATGATATATGCAAAAGCAAAAGTTGTTTGATATATTCATAGATGTTCCCAAGGAGATCACTTGTTCATTCCCACATTTGAGATTTTGAAACCGATAAGTTTCATGCTGGTCCTACAAATGACTGAAAAGGGGACAGTCCAGTTAGCATGGCTATTTGATGTGGTGAACTAGATACAACTAATTTATCTGATGTATGTGCAACTTTTAAAAAGGATCACATTTTTCCTAGAACAATTTTGTAGTTTTTGTTTGTATATTGTAAAATAATTCATGTTTATTATAAAAAGTGGGGAAACAAAAGAAAAGTAAAAAGACCCAAATAATCACATATAATTCCACTAGTTAAAAACAAACACTGTGTACATTTTAAGGTATATTTTTCTGACCTATTTTGTTTTCCCTTCTAATAATTTGGAAAAAATGTAATTCATCCTTTCTTTACTATGTTACTGGTAATGTTAATTTGAATTCATTTTATTTCTAATTATCAGTGGTAAGAATGAAATAGCACCTATTGCCTTTCTCTTATGTAAGTCATGCTATTTAGTACATTATTACTTACTTCCTCCTTTCAACCATTCCAAGCTTTGGTTTATTTAACATGGAATTTTTTACTCCAATTATTATTACTAAAAACGTGTATCTTCTTTTTCAATAATTATTTTTATATTTACATTAAGTTTTAGAACCATATTAGCGATAATTATTTAGATTTACTTACATTTAGCTGATGTCATAGTTCAACACCCATACACTTTTACTGTGTCTTCTCATTCTTAAATTATTTGTTTTGCTTCATCTGTCAATTCAATTTCTTCTTCTTCGGGTAAATTTTTTAGGCAGGGCATGTAGGTAGTTGACTTTCTGAGGTCTAGCATAGCTGGTAATTTTAAAAAATAAACATTAATTTAACTGAATATATAATTATTGGTTCATAAACATTTCCCCTAAAAATTATGTCCATGTTATTCAATGACTTCTTTTCTTTCATGTAACAGAGGAGAAAGAAATCTAATGGCACATTGACATGTATTTATGTGTAGTAATTTCCCTAGATGTTTATATGTTGTTTTTTTTCTTTACCCTTGAAATTCAAAAATATGCATTATTGGTTTATGTAACATATTGGTCTATGTAATAAATCTTGCCTGGTACTTAATGAACCTTTTCCTCCTCTTGTCTAATTAACAGTCACCCTGCTTGGTAGCAGGGTCAGAAATAATAGATTGCAGGGTCTGAAAGCTCTGAGCTATTTCAGTAACTACATAACTGAAAGACAGTGAGATGTGGTGGAAGGAACTCAGCCGGTGGCGTCAGCTCTGCAAATGATCAGTTGCATGACCTTGAACGTGTTACCTGATTTCTCTCCAAGCCTTGGTTTCCTCATCTGTAAGTGGGGATAGGAACAACGTCTTGCAGATTTGTTGTCAGGAATAAACAATGCAATAAGCAGGTCCTCCATAAATCACATCTACTATTCTGCAGTATGTGAAGAGTCATTTCTCCTCTAGGCCAAGGTCATAAAACTTTGGTTCAAGAAAAAGTCAGAGTCTATCTTTGGACTCAGGGTTGCTCTTATTGCTAACTGGAAAGGGTCTTGGAGAGGTGGCTCTATCCTTGAAGGACGAAAATAATCTAGAGAAGCAGAGTGTTGGCCAAGGGCGAGAGTGAATATCAGCAGCTCAAATCCAGTTACAGGAGCATGAACTTGAGCCTTGGGAAGAAGAGAGGGACAAGAAAAGCTGTTTTTCTCTTGGTCTCTGATAGAGGCCTCTTGGCCTTCTCTCGGGGGTTCCTCTTATCCTTGTCCCTTTCGTCGTGACTCAGAACTGTGGACATGGTGTTAGTAGAGTTCATTAGATAGTTGAGCGTCACCACATAAAGAGTGGTCCATGGGCCAGCAGCTTTGGCATCACCAAGGAGCTTGTCAAAAATGCAGAATCTCAGGTCCCACCCTAGAGTCCCTGCATCAGAATTTGCATTTGAATGAGATCCCCAAGGGATACAGGTTCGTGTCCAAGTTTGAGAAGTTCTAGTCTAGCCCACATGTTGGTCAGAACTGAAGTTTTAGGTGGCTTCCTTGTCACTCATCAGTGATTTTATTTTCATGCCATTTAAAAATAGAAATGAAAGCACAGCTGAAGTTTCTAGAAGAAAGTAAGGTATATAGAATTTTTTAAATGTAGGATAAAGTCAGTGGTTTCCCATGCACTCAATTCTACTGAGTTGGGACAGGGTCTGGCCCTCCTCCCTGAGGACAACTTAACCTGCTTTTCTGCCCTTGAGCACTTAGCTGGCAAAGGTCATTCTTCTCAGAACATGTTCTCAGACTCTCTGCTTGGCCACAGTAGTGACAACACAACTGCTGAGAGCCACAATCACACCACCCATGGCTTTTAGGGCTCCCCTGCACCCGTACCTAATTCTGGGGGATCACACTTTGACCATAGGCTTGGTCACAAAACAAAAACTGACACCTGCTGCTTCTGTAGATGGTCTGTGGCCCCAGCTTTGGCCTCGTTCTGGGTCCCAGGTCCTCCCTCGCCTCTTCTCCAGACATACTCTGGGAATGTACAACCCCAGTTCAGGCCACCAGCCCCTGGCCAGAGCCAGAGGTGATGTAGACACTGGGTAGCAACTCCAAAACTTTATGTTGGCTTCTAGGACTCCAGAATCCTGAAGGATGTTCTGAGCTTTGAGGCCTCCAAGCTTATGAGGTACAAGCTCTTCTCTAGGCCTAATCTATCTGTCCAACTTGAATTCCCAGAGGTAAAATAGTATGTGGCTGAAGTGAGGGGACTACATCCATTCCGGGACGTTCCGCAGTCCTCAAATGGCTTTCCTCATCAGCTACATACGGTCAAGGGATGCGTAGGTCCTGTCCATTTTTGTATCTAGAGCACCCACTAGAATGTCTGTCACATAATAGGCACTTGATATATATTTGAACTTAAACCTCAGTGCAACAAAGAGCCTACACGATGTTAGACTGCAATGAGTTTAGTGAGAAATAAATCTAATGCCCAAATCATTGGTCATATCCTCATAGGAGAACATCATAATTCTTCTCTGCTATAGACTATTGCTTTCTTCTTGCATTCATGAGGATGAAAACATCTCCATGGGTTTGATGGGCCATTTGGTGGAGGGAAGTAAGGCCCCTTGGGCACATTCTGGGGAGGGCGAGCGTAGAAAGCACTGGGGCAAAATGGAGTGGGGGAACGTGAAGACTTCCAGATCGCCTAGGGAGAGGGATAGGATGGCCTGGGGGTGGGAGGAATGGGAGAGAAGCTGGCAGCGATAAGACCAGTTCCGGGAAACAAAAGAGGACCCAGCAACAGAGCAGGAGACCAAGAGCTTGAAGACACAAGTCAGGCTTAGGTCAGGGCGCAGGCTTAGGTCAGGGTGGTGCAATATTCTAAGGGGACTCCACCCCATCACTTCTTAGCGTGAAGGAAAGTCAGCCGAGTGCCATAATCTTGTGATAGGGTGTCTCATAAAAAGGGAGCTGTGTTCATCTGACGTTTGGGTGGATGAGAGAGAGAGAGAGGCAGAGAGGGGTCCAGGAAGGCAAGCTGCTGAGCACTGAACGTCCGAATAAGTCCCTGGGACGTGGCCGGGTGGGCAGAACGCAGGGCTCCACCAGGAACCTACCGTAACCCTGGAGTGGGCGCAAGATGGTTCCTGACTGTGGGATGTGGGACGAGCCAGTGAGCATCACGCTGAAAGAAAGGCGGGATCCCAAAGGCTGCAAGAGTTACAGACACCTGGTTGTTGTCACATGGATTGCATAAGATTTTGCCCCATTGATGGAGCCACCTCTGGCTTTGGAGGGAGTAAATCTTTAGTCCGTGGAAGCTGTGAGCACATGACAGAGTTTTAGCCCCAGTGTTGTAAAACCTCCCTGGAGATTCCTGGACGAAAGTGAAAACTGTCACTATAAAATAACAAATGAACCAGAATAACCAGGGTTGGATGACCTCCACAAGTCGCCTGGGCTGCTTCCCCGTGATAACAAAGCCCTCCCCCGATAAAGGCAGACGTACTGATCATCCCATGAGCCTTCTGGCCCAGAAGCCCACCCACCCTGGAGAAGAGGGGGTTTTTCAAAGAAACCCACCTGAATTGGGCTTTGTGGCTCTATGGAAAAATGGGAATATTCACAGCAATGCAGTGAGGAAAAATAAATGATTTTAGCACTTGGAGAGAATGACTTCTGAGAAAAATTATACATAAAAAACCAGATGGTTCTTTTGTTTCCAATAGCTGACAATAAATTCTCTATTTTCCTGTTCTGCAGAATTGAAATTGATTGAAATTGGCATTTTTTTATCATGAGTCAGTTGACAAGGAAATTGAGAAAACAAAACAATGGGTGCTAGGGGTTTTTTTTCTTTATTTCTTTCCAAACAAGTAAGTCCAGGGGTTCAGATAAGCTTTGGGGGTGGGGGGGAGAGAAAGAGAGAGAGAGAGAGAGAGAGAGAGAGAGAGAGAGAGAGAGAAGGAGGAGGAGGAGGAGGAGGAGGAGAAAAAGAAGGGAGGGGGGAGGGGGAGAGGGAGAAGAGAGAAGTCAGTGGTATGTTATTAGAAGCCACCAGCAGCTGCCTTCTCAAGCTGCTATGCAAATTTGTGGGCACACACTATCCAGCTGCTGCACATCTGGAATTTCTGATTTGTCCCTCTGGAGCTCCATGCAAAATAGCAAAAAACCACCTTTGGTTTTCTGACCCATGTGGTTTCATAGCCTTTTCCAGACTTGAGCTGTGGAAAATTGCTGCTCTTGGCTTGAAAGTTACAGTTTAGCAAGTGGTGTGTTTCAGGGGAACTGGTGGGCCAGAAGATTGATTTGCTTTTGCTGCCTCCTGGGGCTCTCCATCAGCCACTTGGCTCCCAGAGTCACCCGTCTGAGTGTCGCAATGCACACCAGGGGCGAGGAAGAATGTGGCACAAATGTCACCAGTCAGAATGGCCTCAGTATGGATGTTGTCTGGTTCATGCATTTTCCCCCAAATCCCCATCATGTATACAGAAAAGGTGATGGGGGACATTCGTATCTTCCACTGACCACCAAATGCCTCCTGTCTTGGAGACCTGGGGCTGGTGGCACTTTGGTGTGTCTTGCTTCTCCCAACCACTTGACCCATCCGATATGCTTCTGCCAGGTCTGCTGATGAACATGAACAACGAGGCTTCAGTGGCCAGTAGGGAACCCACTGACCGACTAATTGAACTTAACTCGTTTCTCTAAACACAATATACATATAAGAGAAAGGTCACTGGGCTCTAAATGTAGTGAATTAGCTTAGTAAAGAGTCCCTTTCCCACCCCTAAGTACTAATGAGTCCTACAGGATGTTGAATTGTCCATATAGAAATGGGGTGGAATTTTTTGGTGCAGCTGGAGAGACTAGTGCATAGATTTAAATAAGTAAATATATACTGTCGGTCTTTGTCCCAAGGTACAACACTGAGGGCCAAGGCATTTTCCTGATCATTAAAGCACTTTGTGGCATGGTGTTTTCTTTGATGCAAAGTGGTAAATGAAAATTTAAAAAGCAAATGGACTCCCAGTCTCCAGCTTTGCATGGTGCTCAGTTTGTGCATTAGCACAGGTTCCAGCCCCATACCCCCATGGAAGCTTGCCTCAGTTTCCCTTCTGTGAACTCCTGCCATATCCACCATCTGCGTCCCTCATTTTGCATGGAACATTTGCTGACTCTGATAATAAGAATTACAACAACAACAACCACCTTCCTAGGTATTCTTTCAATTTTTTCTCAACTCTCCTGTAAGGCCCTGGAGGGCAGATTTGTGCCCTTTGGATCCCCACCATCAAGTTCAGGGCCCTCCTCACAGAAGGTCTTAAAATAATCTAATTATG